TTGTTACCGTAAAAATTTTCTACCCAACTTAAATTGATAGGTGGGCCCACTAGATAAGGATGTCAGGAACTTATGAAACATGCGTGTTTCGTCTTAGGGGGTGTTTGGATCCAGTGACTAAGATTTATGAGGTATGTCGAGAGGATGTTGCATGGAGTATTCGGATACTAATAAAAAAACAAATTACATAATCCGTCAGTACTCTACGAGACAATTTTTTTAAGCCTAATCAATCCGTCATTAGCACATGTTTACTGTAGCAAAACATTGTCAAATCATGAACTAATTAGGCTTAAAAGATTCGTATCATAAATTAGTCGCAAACTATGTAATTAGTTTCGTAATTAATCTATATTTAATACTTCATGCATATGTTAAACGTTCGATGGGACAGCGACACACAGCTCTTTCTTCGCGTTTTTTTCACCGTGCCCGCTGTATGCCCGCCCGTCATACCCGCCTCCACGAAAACTTCCCAGCCCCTATCCCCGCCTCTTTGATCCAAAATTCCAAATGGATCGGCGCCGGTGTGCGATTTCCGCTAGATTGATTTTTCCCGACCTCTCCCGGTCTTGGGCTGCCGCCTTCTCCGCCCTAGAGATGGCAACCGCCCGTCCGCCCGCTTCCCTCCATAATCAATCCGCACACGCCTCTGTTCCTCGACCCCAATGCACCCCGCCGCCCGCGCCCATCCACATCCACCTGCGTCCCTAGCTCCCTACAAGCGCGCCGGGTTGTTGCTTTGTTGATTCTTTGCTCCATTATCACGCCAATGAGGAAGGCGTCGGTGTCGATGTGCGGAGCGACGCCGTCTCCTCCCATGCGCACACTCCCGGTGATCTCCGTGACCGTGACCCGCTGCCCGCCGCAGATCTCGCCGAGGAGACAGGGATCGGTTACGCCGCCTTGGGCATCTGGACCGGCAAAACGAGGCCCTCCGCTACCTGTACAGTTCCCAAGGCACTACTCTACCAGGGTTCGGCATCCTTGGTTCCCCACGTATGTGATCTTCGTGCTTTGCATCCTTGGTTCCCCAGGTATGTGATCTTCGTGCTTTTCTTAGGTTCTGGAGTGGTAGTGCTAATTATTTGATGGGTTAATTAGATTCGGTTGCTGCTATTTTTAAGCTGCTGCTGCCACCGCCACTGTTTGTACTTTGTAGTGGTCATCCTAATGATCCTTTTTTTTTTAAATTTGATTTTTGTCCCTAGATTGCTCAATATGAGGATAAGGAGGTTTTTGTGATTACACTGTCTCTTGCAAAATCACACTGCGTTCAATTGGGGCTATGTAAGAATTCAACTAATTTTGTGGTATGTATTGGAACCAGCTTTGTCTAATTTTGCAAAATCTATATGTGGTATCTTTTTTTTGGTATATGGTTTTCATGTGTTGATTAAACCTTGAGCAGTTAGATCGTGATATCCACTAAAGCAAACTCTTCTTATTCAAATTAAGGTAAGCAATTATTATATTCTTTCATGCCAAGGTTAATATATTTCTCTTATTGTTGCCTGACAAAAATATTTGATCTTGTCCTTTTCTTGCATAGGATGTAAGCAGCTTGACCAACTTCATACAAAAAGAATATGGGCGTCAAACCAGATGAAAAACAACTTTCTGTTAGTGGCCACAATTGGGGAGGGATTGATGGTAATTTGGGTGAACTTTAATTATTGTAATATTACATATGTTGGGTTTGATTTTAATGTTTCTACCCTTGCCTCTGTAGGAAACATGCTAACCTTTATGGTTGGTTCGAAGCAAGCATTTGAAGTGTCCCTACCACATGTTGCACAAACACAGATGCAAAGGAACAACAGATGTTCTCATAGAGTTTCATGTTGATGATACTGCTGGATCCAATGAGGTTTGTAGCGGACCGTAGTTGTAGCAGATCCACTCATATTTTCTGCATTGCCATCAGTACTATATTGCTTGTGTTGTGTATTACTGTAATTACTTGCTCATCATGTATACAAATGGTTGTAGAAAGACTCCCGCATGGATTTAAGTTAGCCTATGCCTACTTCGAGTACTCAGTTTGTCAGGGATGAGAATCGCCCTCTGGCTCACGTAAGCTCACTCAATAAGCACTGTGTAAATGAAGCACATTGAAGTTGCAAAATAATAACTAAGAACATCTATCTATTTTCTGTAGATTTTATGGGAGACTATTGAAATTTGCTGATGCTGGTTCTTCTGAAGAACCAGTTGTCACGTTCGATGGAATTGCAATTCTTACACCAAGGTGGAAAAATATGAACCATTTACCGTATGAAAATACAAGATTGCTGTGCTTAAAAAGCTAACGGTTTTCCTTTTGGCAATCTTGCCTTCAATGCTTTCTTAATACTTGTGCTATGCCTTTGCCAAATGTACTTTTGATTTGAAGCTGATACAAGAAGTTAGGCTGAGCAAACACTTAATTACTCTTTTGATATGTATCCTATCCAAATCTGCAAATACTTCACTATAACCTGGACAGTGAGAATTCCAAATGTTTTTTCATGCTCATCCATGCAATTTATGATCTGAATTTGTTGGGCATTATGAGAGACAGTATCCATTGGGATAAATCATAATGTTCTGCCTCTCTTTGCAGAGGGCTAGACCATAATATTTTAGATACATTGGGGTTTTGGTGGGATGGTTGTAGTATGTGCTGCTATAATTGTGCAAAAAAGATTGAACATTGATAGTTCGAATTTCTGTGCTCTCAAGTCAATACATGTTCTGATTTCAATCTTATACAAATTGCATACTTTTGGTGGGCAAAGGAGCCTTGTTAGTGTTGCCAATGCCAGCTACTGCACAAGAAAAGTCTGTAGACATTATTAGACTGAGAAGCTTCCCTCAAGTGGTTGTTCAAGGTATTGATCTAATTGATTACGAAGACAGCATGCCAACTGCCACTGGAATATCCAAAAGTCTGACAGATTATGAGGATTCCAAATCTGGAAAACATAGCACAAACTCAGCAACAAGGATGGAGCTATTCCTTTACTCTTCGAGGACTACATGCAAGGTGATACTGCAAAAACAAAATGTATTCTCTTATTTAGAGTGCCGTGAACATTTCATTACTGACATGTTTTTTATCTCAGCAGCTAAAAATAGTGAACCTATCTGCTCTAAGTATATTTTGTCCCTTTGCATGGTTAGAAAGAGCAGAGTAACTAGATTTGTATTATTATTATTTTGAACGCAATAGATTTCTATTATTAAGCTAGACTGCTAGAGTACAAAGTGCATTCAGCTTATCAAACTCTTGTAATAGCAAAGGGCATGCCCTTCTTGGAATTAATCAAACTGTTGTTATTCAAAATATCTAAATTCTTGTTTGCCCCCTTTCTCTTCATGAATAGACGGATTTCAGCTTATGTGGTTTGTCTGCAAGAACGAAACCATGGCTTGCCAAATCTTTGGCTTGGCATATTTTGGAAGCGAACCAAGCAGAGTTTTTGCAGAGTAAATAATTTTGTCGATGCACTGGCTCTGCTGATGATGTATTGTTAAATTTTAAACTCTCTTACTCTGCTCCATATACTCTCATTTGGAGCAACAGTTTCTGAAATGCTTGCAAGGAAATAACATACTAAGAACCTTGTAGCATGATGGTTACAATTAGTCGCCTATTTTGTTCTTAGTTAAGAAAATCTGATGGATCTTGATTAATGATTTCAGTACATATAACCCAGCAGCCACAAGGACCTGTACATGCTTCCCATTTGCCGAAGAAATTTCTAGGTCAATTTCCATGTGTTCGTGCTTAAGGCCATGTAGTGTCACGGCAGAAACTCAAGGGTCGTTGGCATCAATGAAGGAAGCTGAAAACGGAGGGAGACTGAACGAGATTTTGTTCCGACTTTTGCGCATCTACCAATACCAAGATAAAAAAAAGAAGAAATCATGTGCAAAATACATGGATCATAACCATGTCTTCCTACTTCATAGGGTGTGCAAAATACATGGATCATAACCATGTCTCTCGATGACTCCTGCACCTTAAGTTGTTGCTCTTCAGTTCTTTAGTCACTTTGGTAGAGCTTTCCTTTTTAATTCTTAAGCTTTACTTATTGAAATTTATAAAAAAAATCTTTAAATCTTAGATAGTTGGTTATAATTTTTTTTTTTTGCCACGTGCGTGCCGCACGTGCATTTATACTAGTTTCTCCACACTCCTCACAATTTTTTTTTTATTTCTTGATCCAAAGATAGCTCGTCGCTTGGTGCCTGGGAGCACGAGCCGTCGTAGCTCCCGTCGGCTCCCAGCTCCCAACTCACGAGAGGCTTTTACACAGACGATGCTAATATACGCGTTGTACATGCCCTAGGACTTTAAACTAGCAGTAAATTAAAGTACACGCTGCTGATAGCACAAGTAAATCCAATACTTCGTGAACTTGATGACTTATACATGCACACTTAATAACCAGAGAAAATGTGTGAACGTCATCTTATTACCTGTAGTGGGGAGTGGAGAAATGCATGAGGCGCCTATTATATATACCAGAATCAAATGTAACCAGTATCAAAAGAGACTCATGCATTATTTACTTTGAAATATCAATAAAGAACAAGTGCACATGTCAAGGTGCGTAACTGTTTCCATTTTGAAGAGGATAAATTTCCATTACAAGTTTTGTTTTTCTATTATTGTTCTTTATATAAAGACAAATAAGTACGTACAGATACGCTATGCAAGCATACTACATCACTCTTTATTGGTTGATAAATATCCACAATGCATGTATGCAGCCTTTGGGTGGGCTGCATTTAACACCAACCACAAATTTATAGCTAGAGGGGTATTGGATTGATGAAAAGGCGCTCAATCGTCTCCATATCCTTGCCGCTTGTGTGTGCGTCCTTTTTACCACGGTACGTGAACGGCAGGGACACTGTCAGGTTGATAAGTCGCTGCACCGCTGGAAGTAGCTCAGGATGCTCAAATCGAGCTCTGTCTGCTGTCTTCCATCCATCCTCGATTAGGTAGCCTATCTCATGGCTACCTCACGTGTTACATTGTACTCGTTCATGTAGCACTCCACGGAAGTTGCTACATCTTTCTTGCTCTTCCCACTCTGCAAATTAAACAATGCAGCATAAAGTGCATGCTCCAATTATATATATTAGTTAGTCACAAGAACCACTTTGTGAGCAATGATGATTAACAACAATATGCACATCAAAAAATGATATGGAAAGAAACTCTACATTGAATGAAGCTATGTCGTTCAAGAAACGGGCTATCCGCCCGAAGATCATAACAGTGTCTCCCCTCAGTGCCCACTCAAATGCATCTCTGGTTGTTTCATCACCCATGCCCATTAGCATCGCGGTAGCTACTGTTTGAGGTCCGATCGACACCGTAGACACCTTCACGTGTTCTTTAAAAGATGGTTTGCAATTATGATGAAACCATTCGCTTTCCTGGAGATAACTTTCAGACGTCATCTGAAACTGTACAGACAATGCATCAGTACTGGTATATATGAGAACGATTAGATCATTGCTGCCTTGTTGGTGGTTGGTTCATAATTAGTCAGTGCGTACCGCTTCCCTGGTGTAAGCCACACGGTACCTCTCATTTGGTTGCAGTTCATCCTCAAAAACTTCAAAGTTTCGTAACAGCCTTAGGTAGAACTTCCTCAGGTACTCGGGTAACATAGAAACTGCACTATCGTCCCATCTGCAACACACGATATATATCTTGCATCCAAATTAATCTAGCTAGTGAATTGGATACAACAGGTTAGAGGAATAATAAGGTAATGTAATCAGCCAAACTAACTAATACAAACCTTCTTATAGCTTCAGCGAGCTTACGAGACTCATCTAAGGTAGCATGGTCATCAAATGTGTCATCTACCACGGTCATAAGTGCAAAAACCTTGGTAAGCATTGTCCGAGCCCGCGAGAGATCTTGCTCGTAGTATACTGCGTAGCACCAGAAGAAACAACCAACCACGCGATCACGCACGTAGTTTAGTTCCACTTCTTGGTAAATATCCTTCCACCATCTGAAACATTTTGTCCATATATCATCAGCAGGCTAGGCGTGGACTAATTTGTGTTCATGAGTAGAAATTATTTACGTAATTTAAGGAGCTGTGAAGTAAATTGAAGCTCATGATTAATTTTAAGGTCACCCGCATTTATGTTTAAACTTCACTTGTATCCAAAAATTTTATATTAGTTACAGAATAGTGAGTCGTGCATTTGATTAGTTTCACAATTGGGGATGTTGTAAACCAGGGCCTCAAGCTGCCCTTATAACCGTGAACCTCTGCAGCCTATAGAAAGCTAGAGGATATTCTCATGAACTGAAAAAAAAAACTTCATTGTGGAAGTGGAAGACTGGCATGATAAACGGGAAGAAGTAAAAACTTGTCATGTTTTATTTCAACAAGAGATAACTAGAAGTTTAGAACATGCGTACTGGGAAATGGCTTTGAGCTCTTTCAGGTGAAGACGTTGAAGTAGGTTAAAATCCAGCTTTGCAAGCTCTAGTATGGAGGGATTGTATGTTTGCTCTTGAGTGTATTCGGACATATAATCTAGGGCCTCCAATCTCTTCAGTGTCCTTGGCAATGGTAGCTTAAGGGCCCGGGTTACTTGACCAGCTAATGGGGCCCTGAGGCTACTTGCATTGTTAATAATCCCAGTCCCAGATGATGCCTTGCAAATGGAATTGCTTCTTCAAGTTCCACCTCTCCGTGCGTTAAAAGGTGAGCTGCATTGTATAAGCTTAACAAGCCTCTATGATCATTCGTTATTTCTGTACGGAAGCTTCCATCATCGCCTCTGAACTTGCTGATCAATTCGTCTGTAATGAAATTATCGTACAGATTTGTCATGCCAGTATGTGCAATATATATGCAGGCACACATATATACCTACCTGGAGAAACCCAAAGACCATGGGTCCTAAGGAGGCGAAATCGCAGGGCAACTTCATGGAGGCTACTGAATCCTCCACAGCCATGGATGCTGCGTAGTGTGGCATCAATCTGCTCCTGGAAGAGATGATCAATACTCAGATGCTGGAGGGTGTCCACAAGGCTCATCTGGTGCACCGCGTTGCTGTCGCTGCAAGCCTCAAACAGTCCACACACCTCCTTCCTCAATTGATTGACCCTCTCCCTCATGCTTCCCTCCAACATCTACAAGAATTATATATGCAAATTAAAGGCATACGCATATAGTACAGCATAGACACCGGACATGTTAAAACTTAATAAATCGAGCATGAGTGCGTGCCTGCATCGGTTTAGGGACGTAGTCGATGAAGAAGTCACCCCACACTGAGGGGTCAACAGTCCTCGCCTCAGCAGCGGTGGTGTTGCTGGCAGCCATTTGTGGATGTGCCGTAGTACGTCTGAGGAGCTTGATATATATAGCTCCGTTCGGCTTGCTGAAACTTGGCTGAAAGTGGCTGAAAAACACTGTTCTGTCTGAAATGTTGTGAGAGAAAAACACTGTTCCGGCTAAAAAAAAAGTCGAACAAGCCGGATTTAAAGTAAGCCGAACGGGGTAGTCCTACTACTCAGTACTCAATGTCAAGGTGATTACTGAACTTAGTGATCGTCTAATTAATCACGGTCCACGGGGTGGTTCGTCTTGAAAACGTAATGGCATTCACAGATTGAGGGTTTCTTTGTTTGTTTGATTGATTGATGATGATGATCATGCATTCATACACCTTGTCTAAGATAGGAGTACCTTTAATAGGCGTAGTATAGGTTCAATAAAAACGCCATGTATATAAAAGCATGCATGGCAACTAGTGACCAGTAATTTCCACACTAGCTAACTGTCAAATCTGCTGAATGAATTTGGTTGCGCGATGGTGATTAATAAATCACTAAAACGAGCAGAAATACTGTTAGGAGGCGTGACAGGAGGAGAATAACTGTGTTTTTTTTTTGGACGGACGGGACACAACGTTTTCCATTAAGAAAGAATCACATCTAGGTCCTGAGCTATAGCTCAGTGGTGGGTTCCGTGGTTACGAACCCACCGGTCCTGGGTTCAAGTTTTTAGCGACCGGGGTTTATCCCCATTTTTTCCCCTTCCCTTAGGCTCTGGACATTCGCATGGCTGCGTGGGTTTAGTAGAGTTGAGAAACTACACTACCAGTCTAAGCTAAAAAAAACATTTTCTTCTTTTTCACAGGTCTTGGACATTCGCGTGGCACCACAATGTGAGGGTGTGCGTGTGTTGAGTAGAGTTGAGATACTATAACTCCTTCGCGTGGCACCACAATGTGAGGGTGTGCGTGTGTTGAGTAGAGTTGAGATACTATAACTCCTACACTAGGAGTATAGGCTAAAAAAAGAAGAAAGAAGCACATCTAATGATTTTTTATTGGTAATGGAAACATGAGGGGTCAGACGACCCCTAGTGGTATTTCTAAAAGGATTGGACGAGCATATCATATAGCAACATTATGTTTTAGCGAACTGAATGTGAAGAAAAAATAGCAATACGTAGGGCGTGTTTGGTTCAAACCCTGGGGCAAACTTGCTTGGATGAAACTCTACCTGTACCTTTCCTGTGACAAGTTTGGTTGGTGTCCTGGGTACGTGACTGGGCAGGCATCCGCTCGTCGCCTAAGCGGGCAAAATCAAGTCGTCTGGCTCTGCCTTGGATATTGTTGCCTGACATAAAGTGGCTGATAAGCCAGCCACACAAATCACGAGCACAATGGCTTTTCTCTTTTATTTTATTGTTTTGTCCGGCCGGCATTTCTCTCTTTAACCAAAAAATAAATAAATCAAAAGGCCCTTTATTATATCCTTGTGATGTGAAATTATTTATATAGACATATCAATAAAAAAGTACTTATTGCACATATATAAATTCAAAAAAATTAAACACATATAGAGAGTTGTCATTAGAAATAATTAATCTTAATAATTTTACTGATAGACAAAAATCATTTATTTGGTAAACAAACTATTAATAGGGTTCTGTAATCTTATATAGACGATACGAACATGATTTATCTTCTGCGTTAGCATTTCAAGGCATGCACAGGCTTTAAACCAAACACACTTTCTCTGAGTTTGCCTCACTAAGCAAAAATCATCAACTTTCCAGTCAAGTCTCATGCAACATTCTGATTTGTGTGGCTCGTGATCTGAAGCATGCAACAAGAGTAAGTAGATTTGACTCTTGAATGATACTACCTTTGTCCGCTATTCTGATATATAATATATATTTGATGTGGATGAAATTGGTGTGTGTGATCTGTTCCTATTCCTGAATCCTGATCCACAGCTGGCGTATAGTGTATTAGATAGAAGATAACATATCAGGTGCAAACCAACCAATCTATGTAAACTTAAAAACTATCAATCACGACCACCAGATGCTGATTCAATGGATGGAGTGAGAGGTGAGATTTTTTTACGCTTAAGCCCCTCACCCGTCGGCCCTTTTTTTTGTGCTTAGGCATGCTCACTTCATCTATTGGATCAGCATCTAGTGGTTCTGATCGATAGTTTTCAAGTTTACACAGATTAGTTGGTTTGCACATGATATGTTAGCCCACAATGAGGCTAACGACGGAATTGTTCCGGCCCACCACGAGGATCGCGTGACGATCAGTCAATTGACGTGCATGGCGCCGACGCAGATGATGTCAGTAGGGTAACTGTTTTTCTTTTAATTTAAGTACATAAAAAGAGCCACTAGGACAGCATAGGCCAACCAATCCCCAGTAGGATAGCAGTTGGCCAAACCAACCAGTAGGATAGCAATAGCTAGTAGGCCATATATGGCATCAACTGGCCGCCCATGTACCGGACGTGATGCGTCGTCGGCCGCCACCAATAATGCGCCGCTGGTCGATTGGATGTACAAGCCAGCACAAAAATCATACGCTCAGCTCACGCACAGGCGAAAATAACCCATTTTATCCTTAAAATCGGGTGTGATAATCCGACATCGCATCAAAGAGTTATGATTTTTTAAAAGTTCAGTCTTGTCATGCCACTCACGGTGGCGCAATAGAACAGTATTGTCACGCCAGCGGGAGTGGTGTGCCAACGTTTTCCACGTCGAAAACGTCGTCTAACATGACAGATATTGCCACGCCAATGCATGTGACATGACAACATTATTTGGTCGCGCCAGTGGCACTAGCGCAACCAAAACGGTCAAATTTGCAAAAAAAAATTTAGGAGTGATTATTATTAAAATATTGAATAAAAAGGACTAAAAATAATAAAAAATCTCAAAATCTGCCAAAGGCGGTGGCTATATATATTTCCAAGCCCTCGCAGCGCCTAAAAATCATTCAAGGACATCCCAAAAACCTCAGCATAAAGATGTTCAAGAAAATCGCCTTTGAGGCAGATTAGCTTGCCAACCACCTCTAAAATTAACAGGCATTTTCTAAAGGCAGCTGCCAAAACTCATTTTTTATAGACTATTTTTAAAGGCGGATTTTGATAGAGCCGCCTCTACCAAAAAGGGTGATGCCTCTAAAAATGGATGGTGTAGTAGTGGCTACATGTGCAGGCTGCAACATGCTTCTTTTACCGTATTTGTAGTTCAGAAGTTGCAGCAGCAGTGACAATTGATGAGGCTCGTTGCTGCAGCGAACACTTTCCATTGTATCTATAGTATTAGAAAATTTCAATTTCTACAAACAAAATTATAGCATACTCCTGTTAAGTAAAGGAAAAAATTAATAGTAGTATACAACCTGATGAGACATAGATCAATGCCATTTCATTCTTGTACTCTCATTAGATAATCGTTTAATGATTTTGCAAAAAAATAAAAAATGGATAATCGTTTTAGTGATCAAACCAGATCCGCGGCGCGGCAGCCCTGGCCACATCAGCGTTCAGCGGTCCTGGTCGCTGCCACGTCATCGATCCTACCGCGCCCCCATACATGGCGCGGTAACATGATTTCGCGGCGCCATGCGAATAGGCGCGGCCAAAAGTGTTAGTTTTAAAAAAATAAACAATGTCATATTTGAAAATAGTTTCAAAAAAGTGTTAAAACTAAAAAAAAATTCACAATGGGAGGGTGTGCGTGTGTTGAGTAGAGTTGAGATACTATAACTTGTACACTAGGAGTCTAGGCTAAAAAAAGAAAAAAGAAGCACATCTGATGATTTTTTTATTGGTAATGGAAACATGAGGGTTCAGACGACCCCTAGTGGTATTTCTAAAAGGATTGGACGAGCATATCATATATATATATATATATATATATATATATATATATATATATATATATATATATATATATATATATATATATATATCCCCATATGTTATAGTAACCCAGCTATCGTAAATATGTATTGACATTATTGTAAATTAGTATATAAAATTATTGTAAATGAAGGTGGCTATATATATATACACGGTAAGACTTCTGCAGCTAGCCATATAATAAGTTATTCTGTAGCCACATCCATTTATGATAATTTTATATACTAATTTACGATAAAATGAATACATATTTACGATAGTTGTGTTACTATAACACATGATGATATTTACCATAACGTTATAGTAAATCACATAGTAAGGAGTTACTATAATCTCGTGAATTAGCATAGTAATTATCGTAACTCAAAGTGACCACAAAATAAGTTATTTTATAGCCAGCCGTAGAACAGTATATATATATATATATATATATATATATATATATATATATATATATATATATATATATAAGCAACATTCTGTTTTAGCGACTGAATGTGAAGAAAAATTAGCAATATGTAGGGCCTGTTTGGTTCAAACCCTGGGGCAAACTTGCTTGGATGAAACTCTACCTGTACCTTTCCTGTGACAAGTTTGGTTGGTGTCCTGGGTACGTGACTGGGCAGGCATCCGCTCGTCGCCTAAGCGGGCAAAATCAAGTCGTCTGGCTCTGGCTTGGATATTGTTGCCTGACATAAAGTGGCTGATAAGCCAGCCACACAAATCACGAGCACAATGCCTTTTCTCTTTTATTTTATTGTTTTGTCCGGCCGGCATTTCTCTCTTTAACCAAAAAATAAATAAATCAAAAGGCCCTTTATTATATCCTTGTGATGTGAAATTATTTATATAGACATATCAATAAAAAAGTACTTATTGCACATATATGAATTTAAAAAAATTAAACACATATAGAGAGTTGTCATTAGAAATAATTAATCTTAATAATTTTACTGATAGACAAAAATCATTTATTTGGTAAACAAACTATTAATAGGGTTATGTAATCATATATAGACGATACGAACATGATTTATCTTCTGTGTTAGCATTTCCAGGCATGCACAGGCTTTAAACCAAACACACTTTCTCCGAGTTTGCCTCACTAAGCAAAAAGCA